TATAAGCCGCACCTGACTATAAGCCGCACCTGACTATAAGCCGCACCTGACTATAAGCCGCACCTGACTATAAGCCGCTCCTGTAATATTGAAAAACGTCGCTCAAAACTAGAAGTGACTGCTAACTGACACTTTCTCATGTGGGTTAGTGCTCGGGTTAGGGTTAGGTTTGACTAATTAGCCCTTAATTAGCCGTTAATCAGTGAGGGCTAGTCTAAAGTTAGATTATTATTACGTATGCTTGTATTTCTTCAATGAAATCCAAGAAACAAAAACTCTTCCGATCTCTATTTTTGGTGTATTGCTCCAGCGTAGATTCAAAAGCGCTGTGTGTTTTCCTGACAGAATTACTGAGTCCCGCATGAGCATAAATCAAGAAGTTTTGCCCGCTGACTCAGTCCTCCTCTCGTGCACTCCCCGCTGGCTGCTGATTTATGGTTGGTTTTGCCATTTGCTGAACGCTGGTGAAAACCCGAGTGTGCACCAAATCATACTGCCCAGAGAAACGATGACACGGCCACAAAGCGACTGTCATTAGTCCGCCATTCATTTCTTAGTTTATGGTTTCATTGTTCTCGATATAGGAAGACTGAGGAGTTTACATCTGTCAAAAAATACTTTCAAATTTTCTCTTTAAAAACATGTTTATTTGAACTATTGAATTATCACTTTCAATAGACTGAAATCCAAAGTACTTCCAGACATGGGCTCTTTGATCACTTTCTCAGCTGCGGTGGAGTTTGGTTCTATATTTTCTTCCATCTTTAATGTCCAGTGATGTGACCGTGACCCCCGTGGAGCGAAAAAGCAAGAGACACGAGTCCAGGACAGAGACTAGACTGGTCAGACTGGTCTCACTGGACACAGGGTTAGACTGGTCAGACTGGTCTCACTGGACACAGGGTTAGACTGGTCTGACTGGTCTCACTGGACACCGGGTCAGACTGGTCTCACTGGACACCGGGTCAGACTGGTCTCACTGGACACCGGGTTAGACTGGTCTCACTGGACACAGGGTTAGACTGGTCTGACTGGTCTCACTGGACACCGGGTCAGACTGGTCTCACTGGACACAGGGTTAGACTGGTCTGACTGGTCTCACTGGACACCGGGTCAGACTGGTCTCACTGGACACAGGGTTAGACTGGTCTGACTGGTCTCACTGGACACCGGGTCAGACTGGTCTCACTGGACACAGGGTTAGACTGGTCTCACTGGACACAGGGTTAGACTGGTCTGACTGGTCTCACTGGACACCGGGTCAGACTGGTCTCACTGGACACAGGGTCAGACTGGTCTCACTGGACACAGGTGGACACAGGGTTAGATGGATGTAAACCAGTGGGAGCAGGTACCGGCTCACTGAAAAGGTCCATGAGCATGTGCGTGCGCTAAAATGCTCAAATCTCCCTCCCAACCTGTGGGGGTGTGCCCGGAAACAGAATTACCCAATGCTTTTGTATGACATCTTCATTTCTCTCAAAAACTTCTTCACAGGATGGTCCAAAAGTGGCTCTTGATGATGTTTTTTTTCTTTTCTTTTGGACCCGTCTAGTTTAGCCGCTGTGGACTTTTGAATGCACTCATTAAAGGAAGGGGGCTCGTGCTGGCATTTCACTTTTTCCTGCCCAGCGGCCATGTCAAAAAAGTCAATGAAAGGAAATGGTTGTCGCACATTAGTTTGGACCCCGATGCCGCTAAGGCTTATGTCAGGACTTTTAATTTACTGAAAAATATCTTATCTGCAGAAATTTGAACTCTATCTCTTATCAGTCAATTATTTATTTCCAAACCTGTACAACACAGTGTGACAGAACTCAATACTAGAATAATGAGACACATTCCCAACACTCTCTGACCCCACATTTCTCCCACTTCTTGCTCGGTGCAGAAAGCATCACTCTTTCCTTCAGTTCTGCCTTTTTTTAAATGACTTCCTCATAGTTAACTGCAAAGTCCATTATTTTATTCTGCTACGGCCCGACTCTGGCTGTGACAAAGTACTGAGTGGAGACAACACAACAACCAGATTTAAATACCGATAATGGCTTTCATTTAGAAGCAGTGGCTCAGTTGGTAGAGCATTGGCCTTAGAGCTGGAAGGTCGTGGGTTCGAGCCCACCATGAGACCTACTTCAAGACTCCCAATGATGACTGCTGTCGTTGTGTCCTTGGGCAAGACACTTAACCCCGCTTTTCCCGAAGCCCCCCACTGAAAGATCTCAGCTTCTGTGGACTCAGCACCTGCAGGAGGATCAGTGAGGGGCTGGTGCTCTGTGGACTGGGTTCAGCTCTGACTGCCACCCCCCCGACCCAGAAATGGATTAAGGGGAAGAAGATGGATGAATGGATGGATGTATGGGTGAGTTGAATTAGAATATATTACTTTACTGTTATGTAGGTGAGTGAGAGTCAGTACCATAACATTTTTGTAAGTGTGTCATCTTAATTTATAAAGGGCATTTTACAGACCACCCAAAGGTCGCCCAAAACGCTTTACAATGTTCAGAGTTCAGATATTGTTCCGTTCTCTCCACACGGTGATGACGGGAGCGAGACCTGAACACAATCAGCCTCAAACACCATCCAGTCTCTCACTACATTCAGACTTATTGTGCATGTTTTTAGTGGCAAGGGAAAGCTATGCAGACATGGGGAGAACATGCAAACTTCACAGAGAAAGGCCCTGTTCTGACCGGGATTCGAACCCAGATCTAGAGAGAGAGCTAGAGAAAGAGACCATCAAAAACCTGACAGCCAATCAGGGACAAGCTCAGACAGATAACAGGTGAGGAGGTGTCATGAGAATATCTTCATCTTTGTCATTTTATTTTTATTATTATATTATTTTTCTGCCATCAGCAAAAAAATCAGAAAACATTTGTTGTAGTTTATCGCCACCGTGTTTGGAGTAAATGAATGATGACATGTAAAGTGTCTTTGAGTGTCCAAAAAAGCGCTGTATAAAACCAATGCATTATTATTATTATTATCATTTAAAGACCGAAAGGCTCCAGTCATGATAACTGAATTACACACGTTGACAGCCAAAAAATGGTCAGGGGTTTCTCAGCTGATTCAGACTAATGTTGGTGTTCTGAGAATATCACATGCATTTGTCTCTATCAGGTCAACTGTGTGAGATACATAGTGTTACGGATTATGTACGTCTACGTTATTATGGATTCTGCTTATCAAATTTGATGGAGAAAATAAAAACTGAATGACTTTGGATACGTTGACTTTGATTTCTTGAGGAAAACGGAAAAAACGTCAAGGGTTTCTCAGCTGATGATCCGCAGAAATGTGTTTTTTACGCAAAATCAATTAAAAAAAATATTTCTGTAGCAAAAAATCCAGACCTGATTGAGCAAAACCAAGGTCATTTTCAGACTCAGAGCATCAACATTAGTCTGATTCAGCTGAAAACCCTGGACTATTTTCAAAATAATATGTTTTTGTTACCCAGTGTTATCATAGATTTCATGTTCGATCCAGACTTTTTGCATTGAATGAGTAAAAGTAATTGTACGATATTTGCTGAAAAACTCCATATAAAATAGTATGGAAAGAAGTCCCCACATGTGTCGAGCCGTAGAGTGCTGGTGTCTGCTGTAGTGAAACATGATTACAGCTGTTTACCCACGGAGCGGCTGTGTCTCGGAGCGTCCCACCTCCAGACTAATGCACTACTCTGACATTTGGCTTGTTCTCTTATGTGCTGCCTTTCATACACCCACCTCCCAGCGCCGCTCTCCTGCTTGCCCACCTCGTCGGCCTTGTTTTCTTACCCTTTCTTGCTGCTGCTTCTATACGCCTGTGCAGCAAGTCTATACTTCAAATGTTGGATGTTTTAAATGGCCCGAGGTATGGAGCCGTGAATGCAATCATTAAAGTTACACCTACACTTTCCGGAAATAGCCATGTAGGTGACCAGGAGCGCGGTGGAGCTGTCTGGGTAAGCTATAGCAAATGTGTGCGGGAGTTAATCATTTAGACTAACACGGAATGGAAACGGGTCTCATTATTTGGGATTGGGAAACAAATGTACGTCCGAAACGCCTCGTGATTCTATTGACTTAGGCTCAGTTATAAATTTACTCAAGGAATAATGGAAAAATCGGGGTTTATCACATGGGCTGAATGTCAACTATAAGCTTTGTATGAATCAAGGAAAATGTTTGGATCGGACAAAGCACTCGCTGTTGGTTCTTTAGCATGTGTTTTATCTAATCCGATATTAATGTATGTTGTTCTACAAAGAGTGATTATATTCAACCTTTCACACTGCAAATTGTCATCAAAAATACATAAAAAAATACTCAAATTGGTCATTTTAACTGCAGCATGAACTTAAATTGTAATATTTCTGAACAATATTGCGATTTCTCCTGTTTAAAATGACTCTTTAAGGACACAATACAATACGCCAGAGGGAAGAAGCTGGAACATTTCCAGGGGCCAGAAGAGTCAGTGATTATTCTAAGAGCTCGGTTTTAGAGTCTATCGTTGCAATTGCGGCCACAAAAATAGCATTTTGATTTTCTGTGCAGCCCATATTGACCTGATGGAACAGAAATAAAAGTAAAAAGTGAATGTTGTCTTTTGTTTAAAGCTTAGAAGGTTCTTTTATTATGACAAAAACGTAAAAGCTAGTACGGTTGAGTTACCTCATGTTTCTGCTGCAGACTTCGAAGGCGGAAGTCGAAGGCAGAAGTCTACGGCCGTACTAGCTTTCTTTACTTCCAAGCCTCAAGATTAAAGGTTATATTTGTGGTTAGTGAAGAACGTGGTGTATTTGGAGCTGCCGGGTCATTATCGCAGCTGAAGTCGCAGCTCAGACTGTGTTGGTGATGATTCTGTCAGTGACACCTCCCTGAGGCCTGACGTGAGGAGACAAAGAGAGAGGAGTGAGAGTGGCTCTGAGGTGACGTACTGTGAGAGTCCTGTCTGCTCATCCTGGTCCCTGTCTGCTCGTCCCGGTCCCTGTCTCTGTCTGCTCATTTTGAGCTCTGTCTGCTCGTCCCGGTCCCTGTCTGCTCAACCCGGTCCCTGTCTCCCTGTCTGCTCGTCCTGGTCTCTGTCTCCCTGTCTGCTCGTCCCGGTCCCTGTCTCCCTGTCTGCTCGTCCCGGTCCCTGTCTCCCTGTCTGCTCGTCCTGGTCCCTGTCTCCCTGTCTGCTCGACCCGGTTCCTGTCTGCTCGTCCCAGTCCCTGTCTGCTCAACCCGGTCCCTGTCTCCCTGTCTGCTCGACCCAGTCCCTGTCTCCCTTTCTGCTCGACCCGGTTCCTGTCTGCTCGTCCCGGTCCCTGTCTCCCTGTCTGCTCGTCCCAGTCTCTGTCTCCCTGTCTGCTCGTCCCAGTCCCTGTCTCCCTGTCTGCTCGTCCCAGTCTCTGTCTCCCTGTCTGCTCGTCCCAGTCCCTGTCTCCCTGTCTGCTCGTCCCAGTCCCTGTCTCCCTGTCTGCTCGTCCCAGTCCCTGTCTCCCTGTCTGCTCGTCCCAGTCCCTGTCTCCCTGTCTGCTCGTCCCAGTCCCTGTCTCCCTGTCTGCTCGACCCGGTCTCAGACTCTCCACAGGATTTATTACAATCCATTTTTACACAAACCAAATCAAGACGAGAACAGTGGCTACATCAGACACAAGCACAATGAGTATTATGCACTATTTTTATAATTTTATCCTGTCAGATCCTGTCAGACATCTGAAGCTGTGCAGGGCAGGGGCAAACTGTGGTTGTGTCCTTAGGCAAGACACTTCCCCCACATTAGAATGAGTCTGGTGTGTGTGTGAATGGTTGGTGGTGGTGGGAGGGGCCGATGGCACAGACTGGTTGCCTCGCTTCTGTCAGTGTGCCCCAGGGCAGCTGTGGCTACAGTAGTTTATCACCACCGTGTTTGGAGAGAGAGGATGACATGTGAAGAGTCCTGAAAAGCCCTTTCTAAAACCAATGCATTATTATTATGATTATATAATATAGTCCTAAATCACAACAGCAGTCATCCCAGAGACAGAACCATTGAAATCACCAGCACACATCAGAGAATCAACAGTTAAGACACAAATATAGAACACATGGTATTGGACCATGGAGAGAGACCAATGTCCATGAATGTTGATAAACGTCATACATTTTGACGAGGAAACAATATGGATAAAAGCTTAAAAATAAACTGTAAAATGTATCCTTTAAGTAAAATAATCGTGTGTGATTTGTGTTTGACTCTGAGAAAAGTTAAGTACAGAGTAAGTTCAGTCGCTGCATATGGAGAAGATTGTCCTTGAAGTAAATTCCATGAACTGGTGTCGCAGAAGATGATGTAAGCCCCAGATGTGGATCCTCAACTGCTATTTCTTAAGTGCGTAGGTCACACCCCGCGGGCCCCGACCCCCCTCAGAGAACACATCTGTCAGGACGCCGTGCACCGCCGGAGTAAAGACACAGAACGTGTAAAGACAGAGAGCGGCCATTTTAATCTCACACTCTTTCATGTATGGATCGTGTTTATGGTTAATAGTACTTTACGCCAGACTGTGTGCGGCCGGTCTCCACATGATGAGTTCAAGTCCCATCTTAATTAATAACAATAAAGTAGTACTATGGAAGATTTTCATTTTGAGTCAACTTTAAAGGGCCCTAATCTGTCATCATTAAAGGGCCCTAATCTGTCATCATGAAAGGGCCCTAATCTGTCATCATTAAAGGGCCCTAATCTGTCATCATTAAAGGGCCCTAATCTGTCATCGTTAAAGGGCCCTAATCTGTTGTTGTTAAAGGGCCCTAATCTGTCATCGTTAAAGGGCCCTAATCTGTCATCATGAAAGGGCCCTAATCTGTCATCATTAAAGGGCCCTAATCTGTCATCGTTAAAGGGCCCTAATCTGTTGTCGTTAAAGGGCCCTAATCTGTCATCGTTAAAGGGCCCTAATCTGTCATCCTTAAAGGGCCCTAATCTGTCGTCATTAAAGGGCCCTAATCTGTCATCATGAAAGGGCCCTAATCTGTCATCATTAAAGGGCCCTAATCTGTCATCGTTAAAGGGCCCTAATCTGTTGTCGTTAAAGGGCCCTAATCTGTCATCGTTAAAGGGCCCTAATCTGTCATCGTTAGAGGGCCCTAATCTGCCATCCTTAAAGGGCCCTAATCTGTCATCCTTAAAGGGCCCTAATCTGTCGTCATTAAAGGGCCCTAATCTCTCATAATAATAAACTGTTGAGAGATTTGAATTTCTAAATTACTTTTCCAGCCCCTAAATCTTGTTATTGTTTTCATTCCGATGTCCCGCCCTCCATCGTTTCACCAATCAGAAAGTCTGTGATCCGGGCGCCAGAACTCACCGCGTGGAGCTAATCTCACTGGTAAAGTACCATGTGGCGCAGAACTAAAAAAGGTCTCGTTATGATTCTCAAATCATTAAAAACAAAACAAGTAATAAAACCAGGATTTCTATATTTGTGAAAAAGGTGTTGGTTATAGATTTGTTGTTGACAAAACTCTTGTCTATTCAGCTGTTATGGTCCCAGCTGGATTCGTCTGCATATCTGGCAACCTGAGTCAGGGAGAGTGGGAGAGGCTGCAGTACCACTTTTGACCACATGTTTACACACTGCTCCTTTAATAAAGAAATGCACTACAACACTGCATGCTCATAAGGAAAGACTGCTCCTACAGAATGTATAATTTATGTCTCACAGCGAGAATGTTCCCATACGTCTCTGGAGTCTGGAAATGAAGAATTAAGAGAAACGCCTTTGAAAACAAACTTGGTGGAAGCGCACAGCAGTCGCCCAATAACACTTTTCTCACCGCACACTGTCTCCATGTGGCGTTATCATTTTCTTCTAATTCTATAAAGTCCTCTCCACGCGTGCCACACATAAAACACCTATAGCATTTCTTCCAATCCGCTCCAATGATTTAGTGTGAGCTGCTCCTTTTTGAGTTTCACTAACAATCACTGCCTGGATGAAGGAGACAAGGTTGTTCTTGAGAGCGGTTTCTATCAAGCATTTCAAAACTTTGAGAGATGTGTCCTTTATTTAAATCAAAAGAGAGCAATTAAAAACACTTCATCCCTTCGCCTGCCCTGCACTCCGCAAAACACTTCTGAATACAAGGATTTTTATTTAATCGAGGGCCAACCGAGGTGAGAACAACCTCTTCAGTCATAACGTAGAGGCTATCTGTTCGACTAATTATAGCTTTTAAAAAAATTTAATGGAGGTGAAAACTTTTACCAAGAGTAGGTTGTTAGAACACGTCGAGGCTTGTGGTTTCATAAAGACATTCCTGCCTTTCTTCACTTCGTTGAGGACCATCACGGAACAGTGGCTTGGCACGGTGACAAGAGGGATTTCTTTGGCCTTTTGTTAGAAAGAAAAAACAGCCGTCAAGCTCAGAAGCGACGGGAAAAACGGCCGCGGTTTTCAGGAATTTTGACCTCAAGAATAGGTGCAATTAACCTGAGATTGTCAATGGTTTCTGTGTCCTGGTTATAGACTGTAGATAGAAAAAGATATAGTGACACCTCTGTTGAAATGTGTGCGCCACAGACATGGGCAGATTCAAAATGGCCGCCGGCAGCCCCTCCCTCAGGAAATTATGCCTCTCATTTAACGAGTGCATTCAAAAGTCCACAGCGGCTAAACTAGACTGGTCCAAAAACATATACTCCCCTCAACATCGACAGCACTTTTGGACCAAGAACCACTTTTGGACCAAGAACCACTTTTGGACCAAGAACCACTTTTGGACCAAGACCCACTTTTGGACCAAGACCCACTTTTGGACCAAGACCCACTTTTGGACCAAGAACCACTTTTGGACCAAGACCCACTTTTGGACCAAGACCCACTTTTGGACCAAGAGCCACCCTTGGACCATCCTGTAAAGTCGTTTTCGAGAGGTAAGAAGGTGTCATTAGAATGCACTGGATATTTCTGTTTCCGGGTACACCCCCACCTGCAAGGAGTGGGATTACAGAAAGGTCGTGCTCATGGACCTTTTTGAGCTGGGACCCACCCCCACTGGTTCTGATTGGTCGAAAGTATATTGCATCGTTCCACGTGTGAGGCTGAAGGTGGGAGAAGCATATTTCTCCTGGTAAATTTAATATTTTCTCAATGTTATAAATGTGGTCTTATTCTTAGCACTTATTGCTTTTTTTTACTTGGCTACTGCAACTCGGACGGTCTGTAGATCCAGGACTCAGGGTGTAGAACGAGGACCAAGGCCTTTTGACGCTGGACTCAGGCTGTAGAACGAGGACCAAGGCCTTTTGACACTGGACTCAGGCTGTAGAACGAGGACCAAGGCTAAAATAATAAGTCCGCAAGCTCTGCTCTGACAACCGTCCAGCTCTATCACAATAAAAACACACATTGGCTGCATCTCTTCAGGTGCTTCTCGAGGCGCCTGTATCTTCTTAGCTGCTCTATTCCAAAGGATCTTCAAATGCAGATGACAACCTCTGAAACCTTTTACTAACTGCTGTTGCGCTACGACAAACACTGCTTTTTAAAACTCATTATTTCAGAATAGTTGGAGTTTGCTTGTTTCGTTCCATTAAAAGTAGCAAAGATTTGAGTGATTTCAAGTGTGATGGTCGCGGCTGGTTTCCCACACCCACAGGCTTTCCTCCCTCGGCCCGACTGAACAGTTATGGAGGGTGCAATTAAAGTCCTAAAAGCTTTAATGGGATGGTGGATGCAGTGCTTGAACTTGCTCTGTAGGCAGTAATTAATTAAGTAAATGAAGAGGGCTCTCGTGCGCCTGCCCTCGGCTGATAGAGCGTGTGTGTTCTGGGGCTCGGGGCTTCTGTTGCTGGTGATTCCCTGGAGGCTCTGGGACCGTTTCTGGGAAAGGAAGACGACATTTAAGCCACTTTCTGCAAAAGCATGAGTCTCAAAATAACTAGTCTTAAAGTAGCCGTGTGTAAGAAGTCATCAAGTCATCATTAAAGGGCCCTAATCCGTCAAAGGGCATTCATGAAATATGCTTTTTTCAAATACTTCTTCAACTGAAAATAGAAGTTCAGGGATTTTTAAATTTCTAAATTACTTTTCCAGCCCTTTTTTGATCATTTACCAATCAGAAAGTCCGTGATCCGGGCGCCAGAACTCACCGCATGGTGAGCCTGGAAGGAACCTCAGTTTGACATTAGAGCGCATACAACCATTGTTTAAAATTATTTTCTTATTTTAATTTTTTCTGATGGAATGATGTTTGTAGGACATAAACTGGGACTACATTAAAGCAAACCAGCAACAAGGGCTAGACTTTATATTATTGTTATAGAGTCTGGGGCATTCTTAGGACCATAAATAAGGTCAGTTTTAAAGCATTTTCTTTGTCAAATCTTGTGTTTATTGTCGTTGGAAAGTACTTCTTCCGCACTGACTGTTGTGTTCTGATATGAATAAACTGCAGTTGATTGATTTCATTGCACGATCCCGACTAGTCCCGCTCGGTCAGACTTATTTAAAAGCGCTGACTACTGTCGGACTTGAAAGTAAATGTGAAAATGACTGGACTTATTTGAGGTATTTATCCCCAATATGGTTCTTGGATAGTTTCTGAGTCGTTGGTACATTTTG